TCCTTCCAGTTGTTCTTTGCGTTGTAGGGTATTGTTCCTTTGGCTTGGACGTTATTGGGTGTTTTTTCCCCAGAGGGCCATGGGGCAGAACCTATGGCTCCATTTTGGGGTGGATGAACATCCATTTGCCATCTATTTTGATGTTCACCAGGGTTTTGACCCACAGCCAGTTGGCTTCAAACTCAAGAGGGGCTTCCCTCCAGCTGTTCTTTGGGTTGCTGGGTTGGAGGTTGCCAGAACCAGAAGTTCAAATCCCCAAACCCTGTTTGGTAGGACACCCTTCGGTATGTTTACCTGAAGGTTTTAATGAGCTGGAAGCACTGGCCTAGGCAACCTAGTGGGCCTGCCCTTGAAAAACCAAATGAAAGATGGCGAATGGGTACCTGCTATACCGGCTTGCCTGGGAATCCGCTTGCTTGAGCGATTAAACAAAACAACTTCGGAGGCTCGTTTTCCACTTTTTGGCAAGGCTTTCCTGTCAAGTCAACCCCGAGAATCTGGGGACCTGAACAAAGCCCGGAAATTGAGGTCCTCACCCTTGGAATGAAGATCTCTAAAACCCTCTCCAGTGGGGTTTCTGATGCACTAAAAAGCGAAGACCAGCCTCTGAGCGTTTCACAAAACGCCAAACATGGGGCGGGGTGGGGGCCTCTGCGCAGAGGCCCAACAAGCTGCAAACACATCCGCTTCCGTTGGTCAAAGACCCAGAATCCGATTCGCCGAATGCGCGCGCGGACGAATCGAGCCTCTGCCTCCGCTGCCACATGTGCCTTGGTCCGTCACAAAGCACCCCGTGTGGGAGGTGGGGGGGAACTCACACCATGAAACATGGCGTCTCAAAATCGGGTGAACTTCCTAAGTTGTTGTGGCTTCCTCTTGGCTCTCCCAAATTCAGTGGCTTCCTTTTGGCTCTTCAGAAACAGCCCCAAAAAGGGCATCCTCAAGCAAACATCTGAAACTGCTTCGCCTTGGCTCGGGCCTCGGCATCCAAAACAGGAGTCAAGCAACCTGACCCAAGGAACATCACAGGAAAGGCTGGCCCACCTGGATGTTCAACCCACTTAGGCTATAATCATCGTAAGGGAGCCAAACCCCCAGTTACCGACCAGCAACCATGGCTTGCATCTAAACCCCTGTGAGGGTCCAGGTACCATACGATGGACAGGCTCCAAGGGCCTAACCCCATGTATAAGCAAACAAAAACACATTTCCCTAGGAAACCAATGGAACCACCCGGTAAAGATTGACAGGACAGCGGCTGGTTGCCTATTGTTTGGGTGGGGATTTACGGGAGAAGCCATAAGGCTGGCTTTTGGTGGTACGTACCCAGGCGCCTTCAGGAGCCCTGCACAAACAATTGTAGCCGAAGACCTGGGGTGCGTGTCCATAGGTATGTAGGACCTTGGATTTTGGGCCCAAAGATCTCCTCCCTCCGACCTCAGCTTTTGTGCCCACCGTCTGAACAACAGCCTCATGGGAAGCAATGGGGACTCTGTTTTTCGGGCAGTTACGACTTTACAGGAAAACCCTATCAAAAAAGAGAGACGCAAGACACTGGAGGTATGGGTTTTGTTAAGCTGTGAAATAGAGATTCCACAGGGCACACCCAAAATTAGGCGTTATGACCAACTATTGGTTCAGGGTCTGAAGGAGAATCTGGATATACCAAGGGAAGCCAAAGGGCACCTCTCAAGAACAACGAGGGTGATGTGTATTCAAAGGAAGCCCCTATGATGAATACCTCTATGGAACCGCCATGTACTCATTGTGGCATCTATTTGTTTGCCTCTACGGCTTTCTCTGGTTTTCTATTCCACTGAGTCCATTCCCTAAAGCTGACCAATGGAACCACCAAAAAAAAAAAAAAAAAAAAAAAAAAAAAAAAAACAACAACAAAAAAAACACAATGGGGATGGGTCAAACCTAAAGCACCAGGATGGAAAGGCAGACTCAAACCTGCGTAATCCCGGCTGTGTAATTTGAGCCACACCCACATATAAAAAAAACATGTTACTGACCAGGCTGCTGACTATTTGGGTGTGACTATTTCAGCCATGATCCTTATTTGGTCCATTTTGAGCCATGGCTGCTGCCTATTCAGGGAACGAATCGCCTATTCACCCGGACCTCTGGGGCCCTCACCGGCAACAAACACAGCGCCGCCCAGCGCTTGAGCGGCGCCATGCTCCTCGTTCAAGGGAGCCGTGGGACAAACAAAAAAATATAAAAAAAATCCCACCCCGGATAAACACTGATTCTTGATCTGATTATCTCAAGTGTAAAAAACAAAAGAAGGACATTACCTAGAACGCATTCAGAATTTCCCACCATGAACATCAACAATAAACAAAGAGCAACACATAATGGCTGTGATGTGGGTTCTCTTCATGGTTCTCTTATGTGGGCCATGGTCATTGTTCTCTTAGTGGAAAACCTTGCTTTGGCTGTCTAGAAGCTCTTAGGGGGAGATGCCCATCCTTCCAGGGGTAACTTCAAGGAACTTCCCGATTCTGTCGCGGCGACCAACACAACACCCGTGGAAACGGCTGTTGTGTTGACAAGAACCAACAAAGCAAAGCCAAACAAACCAAAATCAATCCAACCACACCATCAAGTTAACGCAAAGAAACGCAGAGCGACAACAAGCAAAGCAAAACCAACCAAGCCGGGCCAACAAACAACGACAAATCAGCAAGCCAAACAAACGCAAAGAAAAGCAAACCAAACCCAATGAAGCATGCCGTCGTACCTGCAATGACAACGCACGCAAGCAAGCAAGGAAAGAAGCAAGGAAGCCGGCCTGCCAGCGAGCCAACCAGCCAACAAGCAACAACAGTTCTAGTCAATCCAAATCTATGCAGTGCGGTTCAATCCAACGCAACATGCAACATCAACAACACATAGCACCGAGCGCGCAACACACAACATACAGCACATAAAGCACATGCACAACAAACAAAACAACACCAGGAACAAATGATCCATGATATCGAGACACATCACAAGATACATCTACCACGGCCGCACGAAACGGTTGACATCACAGACTTCTACCAGCTGGGAAAACAGGCCGAGCAGCAGCCCCTTGGTTTACAAAACGATGTGGGGCCACTAGACCCTCCTAGGTCCTCCAGTAGAGAGGTTAGAATAAGGGTACCTTTGTTGTGTAGTCTATTTTAAGACCTGGTGGCTGGGCTGTTGAAAGGCAATCCTTAGTCCTTACCTTGGGTTGCGCTGGTCCCCTTTGCGGAGGCTTCCCTATAGGGATTATGGATTAGGATTGGCCAAGCCTCCATTCTGAACAGCCCAGAGTGGGTTGATTCCTTCTAAGGGCGTCCCTTCAACGTCAGCTATGAAGCAGAGGGTGCTCTTTTGTTCCGGGGGTTTGGGGCAGGTTGTGGTTGCATGCAGGAATGTCCTTGCGTAAGTTTGATCGGGGATTTGGGTGCAGGGAAGCGCCCATGCGCACAGGGCTGGCTACATCTTCCATCCATGTTTACACACTAAATGAATGTACTGATTATGGGCTACAGTTATCCCCAATGCGGGGGCCTCTTTCATTCTGCCTTTGATGCAGCGTGTTCCATCCCCACACAGTAAATGCATGGAGGGGGTGTGCTCCCCTTTGGGACGCTTTCTTCTCCTTCATTGGCTCCTCGGGTTCAATGTATAGAGGCAGTAGTGCCCTTTTACTCCTTTTGTTGGTTGGGAGGGTTCCCCTTAGCCAACCAAACAGCCTCGATTCGAGCCGATTCGAGCCTGTGGGCAGGCCCGGTAGCCAGTGATGTCAAGCAATTTTCACTATTTTCCCTTGAGCACAGGCGACGGATCCTTTGTCGGGACCCAAGAGAACTACCCGGAGAAAACGGAAAAAGCCACTGTAGTAATGCTAAGCAATATCCCATGTTTGAGGGCGGGCAAAAGAGTCCAGACGCATCTCAGGACCCAATCCTAAGTCTCCGTCTACACCCTAACCCTCCCAGCTTCCCTCCCCGCATGATCAGGCCTTTTTTGAGTCCTGTTGAAGGTCAAAGGGGGCAGAAGGGGCAGAAGGGGGCTGCTCCAAGTCAATGAGAACCTTTTTCCCACGCGAAACTGCTCGACAAGCTCAGGATGCCAAGAGTTCTTTATGGTTGTCACACCCAAAATCCTGTTGGGAGACGTCCTTCGGAGACACCTGCCTTGGACCTTGCAAGTTGCTGGGAAAACCCGTGAGCAGCAAACAATTTGTAAACAACTATGATTTCCCCAAAAAGGCATGGGACAAAATGGCCGAGCCGCCTGGTTGAAAGTTGGTGCTCACCAAAGCACCCCTCAATGAATCATACCCAGATGTGCTGACGTCAAGGTGACAAAGGTCATAGCAGCATCCCCTACAAGCCCGCAATCTCACGCGCCTGCAACATGCCAAAACCAGATTTCGGCACCAACGTTTGGCGTGTTCTTTCGAGTGAGATAAATGTGAAAGTTGGAATGCACGGAAAGGCGCCATTCTCCACAAGCAAGGTCCTCGACGAGGCCCTTAAACATCTGGTTTCAGACTGAGGCTTTGTCAGGTAGCCTAAAACTTGAGATTCCCTGTCAGGATGGATCTTGTGCAGATTAATTGACACACTTCTGACAACATGCTGACCTTCTGGGGGTTTCCTTCCAAACTATCTTACATATCAGGGTACACGGACTACACATGATAGAGAATCAGAAAGTACGATTTTCTGTACGATGTGGGCCCAGCAACTTCAACCATCGCATAAACTGCGACTGAAATGGGTCCCACCAGGGGTCCCCAACCCCCCATTCTTACGATGAAAGTGCATCAGCACCTTTCTGGGTCCTCCAGTAGAGAGGTTAGAATAAGGGTACTTTTTTCTGTAGTCTATTTTAGTAGGCGAACCCTCCGCCAAAAAAGGGGAAAAAGCACTACTGGGGGACCTAGCTTTCACACAAAGAAACAGACACCAAGACCCTGAAGTCACGAGAACCATCCATGGATCCCTCGCCTCCGGGGTGTCGGCTGGAATCAGCTCCTCACTGCGCTGCGCCATAAGGTGCTACAAAAAATGGAAGATCATGAAGGGGGAAGGAAAAGCCTGCAACATCCTGGAAAATCGAAATAGTGACAATAAAGGATATTGCGCCCAAATGATGGGGTATTTTCATTTACTTTTCAGGTAGTTTGAGGGTGCAGGAAGCCTCTGGGGGAGAAAGGGGGGAGGGGGAAGTCAACACATGGATTGCTGCGCCGAATTGCAAGGGAAACCATCAAGGCGGAGGGGAGGAAAAAACATCACATGTGATATGCGGAAAGCCATTTCGCCCGTGTGCTAACATGGCTTTCTAGAAATCGCAGGGGTACTCTTGGTGTGATTTGAACCACTCAAAACATGATATCCAACAATCACAGCAAATGAGGGTCATTTACGAACGTTTCGAATTGACCCGTGTCATGTCCCTTCAAAAGCTGAAAGGGGTGCAACCTGGTTACAACAAGGGCTCAGGAAAAAGATCCAGGCGTCGAACCTTCCCCAAATTAAAAGTTGAACGAAGCAACAGGTCGACCACCTTTAGTATGTTTCACGGAAGAAAAAAACACATTTGTTTCCCACAATTCGGTCTCTCCTTTTGGGCGATTCGGTCACAAAGGCCATGAACCCCTAACATCCTCCACGTCGTCCCTTATGAGTCATACTCAAAACTGACCGGAACGAACAGAGTCTATCCAAAACCATGTACCCTCTTGTCCACTAACATGGAATCCACCAGAGGGTGAAAATTGTCTTCCATGACCCCTCACTCAGGTTCCATGTTAGTGGAAAGGAAGGAAAATAATTCAAAGGCGCCGTGCCTATGGCTGGATGTTGACTGTGGCTCATGCGGGCAGGAACTCTCGATAGGCTCCTGCTTCAGCGCATCATCCAGCGAGCCTTTGGTAGCTCTTAGCCTGGCGAGATAGAACTCTCAGGGGCAGGTCCTGGCTACCGAGAAAATGCCGGGTCACCAATGGAACGCACTATATGGCACAACTTTACGCAAGAAACTTCCTAGCTGTAATGCCAAGCCCCAACAGGGGCTAGGAAGTTGACATGTTTCACCACACAAAGCATAGAATACAACAAAACCAAACGAAAGAACACCTCATAGACAAGATACCTCTGGGGCGGGTTTGTCCCATTTTGGGGGTGAGATTCTGCGAAGCAGGGAACCAATAACTTTGGGGTTTACTCGGCTAGGTCAGATAAAGATAATAATAATAGCATCTGGGAAAATCGATCGCATAGCTTACCAAGCTGAAATCTCTGAGCAACAAGGTCTACCAGGACCCTCCAAAGTCGATCCAAAAATGGGCAACTGCCATAAACATTGTGGGGTGAACTCCCTTTTGTATGGGTCGTTCGAGGGTGCAGGTACATTTTTCTCCGCTAAGCCGTTGAGCTTGGCTTCCGAAAGGTCGGGGCTGAGGTCACAAGACCAGAGCGCGGGAAGGCTCGCAGGTCGCTGCCCAAAGAAATCGCTCAGCCAGCTGTTTGCTTTTTTTCCCCAGGTACCTGCACCCAATCTGCCCTTGAAGAAAGATACTGCCCCTGAACCAGGTGATGTCCCAACTTTTTCAGGGTAGCTTTAGGGTCCGGAGAGATAAAGAGCTTCTTCATGTCCCTCCGAATGATCCGTTGACTGCCGCTCATTTTGACCAAAGCTCACAACAGGACACATCACAGCGCAGCCATCAGCTAATGGAGACAAACTTTGATTTGCCGTCCGAGGCTTTGGCAACGCTTGACGCCCTTCATGCTCCGTCTCCAAGATGCCCTCGGCAAAGGGCGGGACATGCGGCGCATGCATTTGCCGGAATTGGCATCATGCAGCAACTATCAAGTTTACAATTGTTTACCAATGACTCATTCAACATAATAATGACAATAATAATAATGATAATAATAATAATAAAACAAATCATTCCAAACAAGTGTTCAGTTGCTGGCTTTCGGCACGGCAATGCCCCCTCAAAACCACCTGAAGGACATCGGAATTCAAGCCGATCCGGAGCCAGACACGCTCTTTCCGATCTGCAGCCGAGCTGAACGTGCCCTTGGTACAGTGCTTTCAAGCGGAAACCCACAGTTGCCGATTGGATTGGCCAGAAATCGTCAAAGAGTACCCTGGGCTCTGAACCCAGCCCCAAAGAACGTCGGAACGTTGGGGAGTCGTGGTTGAGAGCCTAGGGGACAACCCAAGTCCAATCCATCAGGATCCAGAGATGTCCATACTGGCCTAGGGTTCGTGTCAGGGGCTGTCCCCACCCTGGTATCTGAGCAAAACTTGTTGTTGTTGTTCAGCGGGTAAAACTAAGCCGAACCACCGAAGCAAAGTCTTGAAAGGCCAGCTCCCTCAACGTTCTTGTGCCAGTTGGATGGCTCATGCGGACCCCTGATAGCAGAACATTTACACCCCGGCTACCAATCAGAGATGGGGGCCCCTGTTTAGTCTGGTCTTCCTCCTGAATCATAATTCCAGGATGTATAAATTGGGGCACTCAACATTGCAAGTTCAAGCCCCAAAAACAATCGGAAAATTCTGGCTTAATTCCAAAACCTGACATCCAAGATTGCGAGGTATAGCGCTCCTCACAAAGTAGGCAAACAAATGTCATATCTCAACATAAACATGAGATTCCTTGCATTTTCTTTTTGGCTGTTCGGCTTCATTCGGAGGGCCTTCAGGAGACTCAAGAGGGCCTTTTTGTCTTCCGAGGGCACCCTTTTACTCCTGATGTTTATGAACAGCCAATGGAACCCGGGTGTCAAATCGCAGCTCCTGAACATCCATCAAGCATCAACCGTTCCCGTTTTGGCATTGTTCGGGGACGCTAAAAAAAACTATTCTTACCTTACTCCCACAAATCAAAAGGAGTTCCCAAAGGGGGCACCCCAAAAAGATTCCGATTCTCAAAGTGGATCATGGATCGGCTCGTCTGGGGGACTAGATTATCTTTGTGGAGGACCCCAAAGAACAACATGTTTGTTGCCATGATTGCTTTTGACTTGTTTTATGAAAGCATAAAGCCTCAACATGATGGAAGAACAACCATTCGGACCCTCGAACCACCCTCAAGAAAGCGACATCACCCCATAATGTTGGGACACTACCAGACTCTTACCCTACCAACAAAGGTGTCTCAAGACAGGAACTGGAACCCCCAACATGCTTGGTTTCCCCTGTTGCTTCCTTCAAAAAGCCAAAACAAATAACAACAAAACAAGAACAAACAACTTTAAAACAGACTACCTGCATCCTCAAACTACTCATTCAAGAGGGGATTCACCAACCATCACTTTGTTGGGTTGCAACCACCCCAATTTCAGTTGACATCTTGGATTGGAGGGTCCAGGTACTTCCCAGCGCCGATGGGTTGACTTCCCCGCGCCTCCGGCAGCTGATCCGCCTTGGGATCCGGCACCTGGCGGTCGCGAGACCTCGATGTGTTGAGTTGGCATCTTTGGGGTGTCAAGATGCACTTCCTCCTAAAATGAAAGCTCCCAGAAGGCCTGCCTGAGTTGGTATATTTGGGGTGTCAAAGTACGCTCCCTAACATGGAAGCAATCTGCAAATGGTACCAAATCTTCCAAAGCAGTCCTGGAGCCTCCATGCTAGCCTGGGAAGGGCAAGGGGAACCCACACATGGGGGTGTTCCTTTTGAAAACCAAACAAAAGAGGCAGTACGGAGCCTCAAAAACGCACAGCCCCCCATCTATTTGGGACAAACTGACATTTGGAGTAACGGGGTATATATCAGCAGCAACCTACTTGCCTAGGATTCCCTGGCCACCAGTAGAAGCAATGCGGGACAAGAAAAAACCGCCCTTGTTTCAGGAGCTTATCTCAATGTGTGATATCTACAACATGGACATCATCGAAGTGGGTCCAAACATATGACCACCCTTGTTTGGGGGGTCAACCATTGGTTCCATGAGACTCGGCTCTTTGGCCTGAAGAAGGGCTTGGACCCTGAGTTCATCGTGGCCAGTGGACTTTCGAGGTTCAACTCTCAAAAAAACAATTTAGGACACGGTGGCATGAGTCGGGTAACCAGCGTGGTCAAAACCAGCATAGAGACATGATGTAGCCAACATTTTCCAAGTCAAGCAAGTGTGCCGACAGCAAAGCAACATGTGAATCTGTACCTTGGCGCTCGCAAACGGCTCGACTTTGGGTCCTTTTTGAAGAGTCCCTGGCCTCAAGCCACGGACTCAGCAAGGGATTTCCACAAAGATCTCCACTGCCCACTGGGTCACTTCCGGTCGAGTAGATTGGCCAAAAGTCTGAAAGCGGTTTGTTTACCAGCAAACCTGTCTTCTCAAGTGACTCAAGTCCGGAGACCCTCGAGGAGTGAGCTAGATCCCTCAAGGGGTACAAGACCAGGATGTTTTTTGTCATGGGGTCCGTGCGGTTGAGGGGAAACCCGGGAGGCCGCTTCACCAAAGTGGGCCCAACAAAAAATCAAAGCTTCACTCCTTGCCCCAACAAAGGACAAAACCACGGGTATGTCTTTGCTTTGAAGGTCCCCCTTTCTTGCTGGTTTTGAAGGACGATCAAGAGGAAAACCCAACATTTGTTTAGGGGGGAGGGGGGGTCCCCTAAAAGGGACACACCCACATGCCCGGGATTGCTGCCCAGTGCACCCGGATGGCATATGTGGGGTGGCAGAGGAAACACACAATTCCTGCGACTTGGTTGTGCTGAGAGGATCCTCTTGGCCACTTAACACCCCATTCTTTCAGGGGTCGTAGAGCACGAAGAAGTCCCCAAGCAGGCGCGTCGCACACGAATGTCGAGCCCCGAAAGCCGAAGTGTTCGCACCCGGGAGTTGTCGGGATCGATCTCACCGAGGAAGCCGATCAACTCCAACCTCGTCTCAACATGTCGTTTTAACGTGAGCTTCCTTTTCGGGGGATGTAAGACATGTGGCGAGCCCACAAGCCCTTTTCGGGGGAGTGTGTCTTTGAGGCCAATCGAAGGCCTGGGGGCTCAATTTCTTTGAGAGAAATCCATGTGCTCCGCAACCGAAGTGGGTCATCCCTACAACGGTTGCTTCTAAATGGGGGGTGCCCTTGGTATCACAGGAGGGCACTTCCCCATGATTGGATTGAAAGAAACCATCCAACGACCCCCGGTGGAGACCCCGTGAGGGGCTTAAAGCACGCCTTTCCGGAACGGACCCTCCTTCGGAAACCTGGAAGTTTGGGATCGGAACAGAACATCGGATTGCTTTTGGTGACGCAAGCCAGCAAATGGAAACAACTTAGGCTTCCGTCATGTTGTTGGGTGGCCAAATGTCTTGGACCCTCAAACTAGACGTGGAGCAAAAACAGAGTAGGGGGGGGGGGTATTTGTCCCAGTTGGAGATCTCCCAAAAAAGAAAAAACTACATCAAGCCAGCCCCGAAGGTGCTATTCACATGTCTCCCGGAAACGACTGAAACCCAAGAGGAGCACGTCCAAGCAAACCTACCAGAAGCAAGTGAAAGGTACTGGAGTTTCCAATAGATTTGTTGCCATTTGTCGTAAGACAAAGCAGTGGTTTGCTATCCTCCATGTTCATCCGAAGAAAGGCTCTTGGGGGACCAACATGCCTGAGGGGGCCTCCCTAAAAATCCTCTCGGCGAAAGTTGTCGGGTCTCAAACGGCCGGAAGGGTTTCCTGGTAGCCAGGGCCCCCAATTGACTTAAACCCCTACGAACCATCCAAGGGCACTTGGACCCTCTTGGTTCTTAGAGGTTTCCACACCCAATAAGGCCAGGTTCTCCTTTTTGGCTTCCCTATGTTCCCTATGTTGACACAAAGTTGGACTCTCTGGGAGTCGCAGAGCCCGGCAGAAAACAATTGGGCCTCGACCCCAGACTTTTTGGGATACATGAATCTGACCTGCTTGAGGCACTGGCACGGCTTCAGGTACGGCTGAGCCCCAGATACTAATCAGAAAAATAATCCTTTCTTCCAGCGTGCCTGCTTAAACCGGCACCGGCACGGCTTCAGGTACGGCTGAGCAGATACTCATCAGGGGAGTTTCTCCTTTCTTCCAGCATGGGTGTGTCTGCTCTTTTTTGGGGTTCCCCTTTTGAATTGGTTCGAACCGCACGTTTAAACGGAGGCCCCGAAGCTTGAGACACACCCACGGCTGGCCGGCCTCCTTTTTTTTCGCTGCCTTCCTGGCGGCCTTCAAAAAAAAGGGCCCGCCGCATCCGGCCGCACAAAAGGTCGGCCTGGGGTTCGGCTGAGGGGTTTGTGCACATTGGTAAAGTCAAGTCATTTGAGAAGAAGTCATGTGATGTTCCAGTGAGAAAAAGAAGAAAAAAACGAAGGAAGAAGGACAAACCCAGTGCTTTGTCAAAGACGCTGTTTTGCTGGGGCCGGCGCTCCAGACAGTGAACTGTTGGCAGCCGCCTGAGCAACTCCAAGTGCAATCAGGGTCCTTCCGAGCCGCCGTTGACCAGAAAACGGGAACGGGGATGTATGCCAAATCAGACTTTGCCGGGCTGCCCTCAGATCCCCCGCTAAAAGTTTAACTTTTAGTGGGTTAAATGGAAACTACCACTAAACACGAAAAGGCCAAAAGGCGAAGGGGATGGCTGGGAGCCACCAAGTTTGTTTTTTCACTTAAACGGAACTACTTGCTTACTCGCGATTCTCTTTGAAACAGACTTCCACTCATTGAGTGGTCCCAACCCTGGGTGGGTCCTGCTTCACAAATGCGAATTTCCTGCTCTGAACTCAACCTCGGCACTCCAGTGGCTGGTCGTTCCAATGGAATTCACAAGCAATCTGGAGCAGGAGCCTTCTGCCATCACACCAAAAAGACACCGAAGCCAAACCCGGCGGCGCAAGCGCCGCTCATGATACCAGAATCATGGACCCTGGGCTTCAACCTCCGTGAAACATGCTGGTGCCACATGATATTAACCCCATCCCATCTGTGTTTTAACGGGGTGTTTGCTGAAGTGTTCTTCCCCCCTGAGCAAAAGGTCGAACTAATTACCATCTTTCCAGCAAAAAGCCCCCGCTTTGGCGCTTCGGTCGACCAGCCAAGTAGTTTTTCCGAACCCGAAAAAAGGGGTAGTACCCTCAAAAAAGGACAGCTGGACCCTCAGAATACCCTGAAACATGGGATATTGCAACCCACACATCTGGTTGGTGAAATTCCCCTTTTTTTGTGGGTAGGTTGAGGGTCCAAACACATCCTTGGTCAAAAAAACGGTCCCCACATGGAACCCTTGCAACCAAGGACCAAAGGAAGCCAAATCGGGGATGGTTTTATAGGGGTCATTCCAACGAGTCATTCCAATTCTCATTCCCTGCCTATCGCACCAGCAAGTGTTCTGGTGCTTCTATTTTGACCCATACCCTAAACCCTAACCCCTACCCCCAAACCCAATGGCCAGATCCTTGGGTACAGGACTGAAGTCCTCCCTTCGAAACCCGTCGCCCTGGCCCCTGGCTTCAGCAGCTCCACGGGTCTCAGCCATCTCAGCTCGCAGGTGGAGGACCTGACGGATCGGCTCGGCGTGGGGTGGTTGGAATGGGGGTGAAAACCAAAACCAGCATGGCTCTGCCCATTTGTCCTGTTTTGGGGATCTTTGATTTGTGTGGATATATGGAATTTGCTATTTTGGGACCCCCTTGCCAATCCCATATGATTTTTGTGGTTACCCATCTGGGTCTGTCATGTTATTTGGGGGGGAGGCACCCCGTTTTTGTGTTTTGGATACGCTGAAAGGAGCCCTAAAACAGACGCCCATATGTTGGTTCTGCTTGAGGGTAGCCAAGTTGACCGCGCTTGTGAATTCCAACTACGCTACCACTCAAAGGTAGTATCGATTTCGGGAAATTGAGGGGCCTCTAGAAAAACCAACAACGACCGCAGCTGAGGCCCAAGTCTCAGTCTGCACGCATCACGGCTTCATCAAGGTCACTGACTGCAAGCATTAAGAGTTAGATACTTAACTAGCTCGACCATTGATTAGTCAAGCTCATTCACTTCCAAACGCGTGGCCACATCCTGAAAGTACAGGATGCTGCTGTGCAACGAGCGTATCTTCTGTTAGGGATGGCTGCCATCCCCGATCAGGGTTGCCTGGTATTAAGCCGGGTGACCTGCGGTGCTTCAACCTCGTCCGATGCCAGTCAGAGGGTGGTCCAAGGCTTGAATTCACCAAGAACTGGTACCACGTGAGCTCGCCAATGCAATGCGCCAAACCCATCCCCGGAGTTGCAGTTGAGAACCCATTAGCCTTTGTTGGGGGGGGGAACCAAAGCCTGCAATAATCATGGGCCAGAAGGAATGCTCACAATCTCACCGATCGAGTTGATAAGCAACCAAACTGTTTGTTTTCAACAGAAAAAGTATTCGCCCCCTCAAACACATAGAAGTCCAGGAACTTAAAGTGACTATACGTCCATATACGAACCCATGATAATCAATCCCGGGTCCCTTTGAAAGCTCTCCCACTGTCATGCAATCCGAGGGGGGGGGGGGGAGGACGGGGCCTGAAAATTGGGTCGTGTGCCGATTTTTTGTTGGGGTCACAGCCCCTGCTTGTGGAGGACCTAGCAAGCCCTGCGGATTGGTGGGATGCTTACTCCAAACATGAAGGATGCCTGTTGAAATGAGACGACCCCTATCAATTAATCCTGGGCTCCCTCAATCAGGGCTCTCTCTTTGCTACCCCCTTGCAGGAAACTCTTAAGACGCACTCGACGGGACGCCCCGCCTATGAATGAACCAGCGAGCTGTTAAAGAACTAATTCATCACCCCTTGAACATCAGTCCAGATACAGGAAACTCAATCATTAACTGTGCCCAAGAGATTAGTTTTACACCACCCGTGTTCAGAGGGGAATTGTTTGGGTGCCCTGAAGAGGACCCTAAGACTTCCCAAATCTTGGCATGCGAGGAGAGAGAGAGAGAGAGAGACAGAGAACCCACTAACAACACACATCACCAAAGAATGAAACATAAACAAACACACTAAAAACATAACAAATAGAGTAAACACCAAGGAAGTGAAAACAACATTAAGTAAGAAAATAAGTAACAAACACGAACAAGACACACATAAACAACTAAATAGGTAACAAAAGCAAACAAAACACACGTAAACAAGTAAATAATAACTACATGAGTATTCAACTAATCAATATTAAACAAAAACAACATAAACACATAATTAAACAAACAACTAAACCATAACAAACTAAGTTAATAAACAAATGATGCAATAACACCATACCAATAAACAGATAAACAAACACATACACAACCAATGCATTAACAAACCACACAACTAAATCAGTGAATTACTAAATCATTGAATCACGCAAAACCATATGCACCTATGTAAACAACAACACAACCAACTGTAAACACAACACATAACAAAACATAGATGGATCAATAACTAAGTGTGTGAATACATAAACACATGCAAAACATCAACAAACAAATACAATAATAAAATAGATACATCCAACCCATCCAGAACCGGAAGACAGGGTTGTTGATTTTTTGCGAACTCCGTGTGGACGTGCGAACTCCCTGTGGACGTCGTCCAATAAAACTTCGGCGGCGCCACACGCCCAAGAACCACATCGTGGCCCGGCCTCAGTCGACTGCACCGGAAACGGCTCCGGGTGAAGCATCCCCATGGTGAAGCGGCTACTCTACCCGGCAGATACATGGCACAACAAAAACGGTTTGTGCCATCTATGGCTCCCATAAGGGTTTTACACTGGGGCTCCCCATCCTAATTTGGGGCCGAAAGAGGCCACGGGCTGAAGCTGTTGCTTTTGGGAGCTTTTTTTGGCTGTTTTCGTTGGGCCCCTAAGAACCTTTGGATTCTGGGATGTCAAATCCAGGGCCTGCAAAGGATACTTGCCCAAACACAAATTGGAAAAGATGACAATGCAAGAAATGTTCCAGGGGCTTTGGAGGTGAGATTGACCACCAATACAAGAAGCATATGCTGCCTCACAAGCTTTGTATTGGTGGTATACAAACATCCATACGCCGAAAGCCATGCTAGGAAATGCCCTGAGGGCGTCAAAAAAAAACACGTTTCCATTCCCTTTGAACTTCATGTTGGAAAACTCACAACATATTGTGGCTAGTTCGCACCCAGCTTGCTTGGGCAACCTAGACCTTGGCAAAGTCTAGGGAACTTTGGGGTAAGCCCAGGTGACTTGTGCACTTGGACTCCCATAGTTCCAACCAGAAATATCCCCTCGATCCCAAAGGAAACTCACCGATATTGGTTCAGGCACACCCGATGCTTTCTCAGGGGCTTCCATTGGATGCAGCTTGAGCATGCTTATGTGAGCTTTCGACATACCTGCGTTCATGGGCCAGAACATCCTTTTCAGCACTTGGGTGTCCAAAAACTACAAAGTAAGTAGGTCACTACCGTGGCTGTAAGGGGACTAACCCCAGTTATATCCATGGTTATAACCTATTTACCAAGTTGGTTGAACACCCAAGTCTAATTGCATCCAAAGGCAAATGGAGACAACCGAGAGGTCCGGGGTTCCCATATAAAAGCTGGGGGGCAGCCCTCGAAACCTCCAAACCCACAGGAAAGCTTTCAACCCATTTCGCGGGTACTAACAAACCTTTTCCCCCGACCGCCACATGAGCCACAAAGAAAGAGATGCCACTGGGCTCCTGGCTGAGATCTGTGGGAATGACATTCTGCCTGGCGAGCGCTCTGTGGAGGGCTAGAGAGCAAAGTGGAAGAGGTTCTGCTTGAGGCTCGGCGTCGTGGGTCGGCCTAAAATGACCACCAAAGGGGAAACAGTATTTTTTTTGGGGGGCCGCTCCCCCTCGATTTTGTTGGGGGGCTGGTGTAAAGGGAAGCCAAGAGGGAAATCACCCATTGATGGGGTCCGCTTTTTGACACAGACACACACACGCACGGGGTAAGAAGAGGGTACAAGTTCGCTTGAGGATGGGATTGGTTCTTGGGGTGACCAATTCGCTGAAAGGATCCTGAAAAAAATGTGTCTTGTTGTTTCTTTGTTTTGTCTTTTTGTTTCTTTTTTTTGTGGGGGGGACCTTCATTTGGCAGCTTAAATTTGAAGGTGATATCTCAGATGTTCGCGGTTAGTCTGGGACGTGAAAATGCTCTTGGATGATCAATCTGAAAGGGACATGTAGTAGGACATTCCATCAAGTCGTCTTGAAACAAATTAAATCAGAATTATCAAAAGCATATGCTTTGACACACGGAACCCAGGACGTCCCAGACCGTCCCAGGATGTTCCAGGATGTCCGTGGGTTCCCTAAGAAAGTGTTTGGTCTGTGCTCACCCAGGACGATTCCAGACTGTCTCAGGCCGTCCGTGGGTTCCCTGACCTCCATTTGCTTAAGTCCCCTGGAAAAAATAAATGTTTCCAGTAGTGATAGAGTCACTTTAAAACCAACCGGGGAAAATAGAAACAAACAACATATTTACCAAATGGAAGCTGAGAAAGTGCTTCTTTTCCTTGCGAAGAAAACCGCCGGCAGCACCCCTCCAGCGCCATCTGCTCCAGTGACCAGAGCACCGTCCTGCTGAGGGAGAGGCCCCAATCCTCACGACATCGGCCAGCGGTGCGGGAAGGGCAAGCTCACCGCAATTTTACGACCGTATCTTGGAGACAGGAACCATCTCCCCATGCCATGGGCTAAAAGCCAACGCGGTTAGCCCCCAGTGAACATCCCATTCAATCCAACCACAAAAATAGGAGCTAAAACGGGTGGTGAATTCACCTACCCCAAAATGGTAGCATTGGTTTTGACAACCACAGCCATATATTTGTTGGGTGCATGTTTTTCTACAGAGCAGTTTTTCTACAGAGTAGTTTGAGGGTGCAGGTACGCGGCTGGTGCTCCCTGCTCAAACAAAGACACAACTGTGCGTCGCTTAGTCCCAAGAAGAAAAAAAAACACACACACAAACAAAGGTTCAAAACCCAACCAAATAGCAGCGAAGAACCAAATCCTCGGCTTTAGAGGAGCCGCTGTTTCCGGGGGGCTCTTTTTGGGTTCCATGTTTGCCAGTAGGGGTATGCAGAATCCCAACAACCCTTACACAGAAATCACCACAACTTCCATGCAAACCAAACAACACACAATGGCTCCGAATTGAGGCCTCTAGTTGTTTTTTGTTTTTTCGACTAAACATGGGCTGTTGCTGGGATGTTTGAGACGCTTCATACACTTGATTCCCAAAGGGTATCATGCAAAGTGGCGGGACCAGAGGGGCTTTCCCAACAAAGCCTTACAAGTTACAAGGCTTGGTGATCCCCACTTTTCCGAAAAAGGTTTGAAGAGACAAAGGTCAAGCCAAATCTTCGCAAGCACGAATCTGGAAAAAATGAGGCCACGTAACGATCCAATTAAGAAAAACATGGGACAGGCCCCCTTCGACGCGAAGCCCTGCACACATTGTTGGGGTGCCAATTTCAACAAACCTGAAACTAGTGTGCCCCTGAAGTCATGCTCGCGGCCCTCGCCGCAATCACCGGAAGAGAAGCGAGTTCTGGAGGCACAACTTGGCGCCGTAGAGATCTTGCTAAGGCAACCGTACGTCCAACAGGTCAGTGCGTTGCTCCAACCTGCCCAGCGAGTGAACCTCCTCGTACAGAAGCACATCTTTGATCCTGCGCGTGGACCTCGCGGTTGCAAGTTGTGGCCTGGCCTCGATGCTGACCTGCGCTGCGCAACGAGGTTCGCAGCACGCGCGGCACACCGAAAGGCCAAGTACTGGACAGGCGTCCCGCCGTAAGGGTGCTGCGAGACGTGCGACAACGCCGGGCAGCATTGCGAATTGGGTGTTCACGCCGTCCTCACCAAACAAAAGTCATTCTCCCTTCACCGAAAACACCCCTACCCCACCACCCCCCCCCTGTTCTCCGAACCGCACCACCCACCCCACCCCACCCAGCCCCGCCCCACCCCCACTCCACCCGCACCCACAAAGACTCGCCAACGTTCGGCCCGCGGAAAGCTCAGGCGCCCCCGTTCCCTGGTGCCTTGCCGTCGCAGGGCGGGGCGTCGCCGGCGCTAAAGGCCCCCGAGTCCACGTCGTCCGCAGTCCATCGAATGGCGCACCTGTCGTACCGGGTTTCCCATGAGGCAAAACGGGCAAACCTGTGTTGGGGGGTATTTGACTGATACGACTATGATTCCAATAACGATGGTACTAAATAATCCCCGACAAAGCTTGCCTTTTTTGCCCCAGTTGAGCAGCCAGTTGACTTTAAAGGGGCGTGGGCCCCCTTCAAGTTGAAGAAAGCAATCAACTCCACTGGAGGCCTGAGAGGTTGATTCCCGATGTGGAGCCCGTTGATGACTAGCCTACGTCTGGCGTTGGATGCACACATGATTTTCCGTTCGGGCAAGCTGGAATCCCTTTGTCGAGCGTTGCGGGTTTCCAAAATTATGGAGTCAACCAACTATTGTAATTATCTTTTTGGCTATCATCCTGTTCTTCCTGGCTGATACTGTCTACCCATTCTCTGTCTAGGTTGATACCTTCATTGCTTCTGTTCCCGATCCCCATATCTAGGCTGTAACTGGATCCACGTCCTATTTCGAATCCCCTTCCATTTCTCTCAACTCGTGTTGCCAACTTGGACCCTTTGACGAAAAGAACCGCAACCTCAGAACTTGCCCAACGAACATGATATGGGAGTGATTCCCCATATATGCGACTTCCTTAAAACTGTCCCGCTTGAGGTTCACACCGACTGGCCGAGAGGATGATCATCCACACATGTGGTCTGATCTGCATGTTTTAGGGGTGCAGTTGATACGAGCGGCTAAACCGCTCAAACAGAAACGCATTTCAAACGAGAATTGGGTGGGGGAACTTGCTTCGGACTGTGTCCAGTAAAAAGTGACATTCTCAAAATCGCCGTCTCAACGGAAGTTAGAAGGGGAACCAACACCACAAGAAAACTTGAGAGCCCCTCAACCAGCTCACTTTAAAAAGTCAGGGACTGTGTGGTACTATCTCGCGATCATCTGGCGCGGGTTGACTCCACAAACCCGTATACAAAAGGTTGAACAGTGGGGGGCCTGCACCCTCAAACTGTACCCTCAAGAAGGGAAATCACACTACATGTGTCAGGGCAACATCCAAAAGTTGAAAAGTATGTTCTGTTTGTTATGGCTTTATATGGTTTAGATTGCTGTATACATACCAAGTTGATTGGATTGGTCTCGGGAACACAACTAATATGTCTAGCTTCTGTTTCCCAATCAATCACTCCTTAAAATACACACCTGCACCCTCAAATTACCCTACACAATTGGACATGAACCCATAAATTTGTGGCAATAGTAAATATCAAAGGGTAGCTGGAGGATATTTGGACGAGACCAGGATTTGCTTGGGATACCCCCAAGGCGTACACAACAGTCTGACAACACGGGGCTCCGGCTTTGACCGCAGCGCTTGACGCTCTTGGCGCTCGCGCTCCTCGTGCGTGAGTGCGACAGGTCATTTGGCTGTGGGTCAAAACCAATGGTACCATTTTGGGGTAGGTGCACCAGCCATTTTAGTCTGTTTTAGTGGGGATTGGGATGTTCACTGGAAGTATTGGATGTTCACCCATGGCCATTTGAATACAGGACCCGAATGAAGCCCGTGATGTCAAGACGTTGTGGAGCAAAAAGAGTAAAACACCGCGTGACATGCTGATCGGTCAATGGCAATATGGGGTCCCAGGTAATGTACAAGAGGGTGAGACAAGTCTGGAAAGCCCAGGTTGCATCCCCAACCCGCAGCATCCTTTACCCAACGCCCGTTCCAAAGCACTCCCAATGGCAAACACCCCGAAGCTTCAAGGGAAAACTACCCCTTCATCCAATACTGATTCAGAGCAATTGCGACAGAGCCATGGAAAAGTTCACCCTCGATGGTCCTTGATGGTCATGAGGTGTAGCAATATTCACTCCTGAGTCATAATTACACAAACACCCAGTCGCCAACGGGAAGAACAACACGTTGTTTTTTGTTGGCTGAGCTGGAAGGAGAACCCCCTTCAAAAGTGGAAACAAGTCTGAGGTTCGGATGGTATGGCTTACTCAAGTTCGAGGGTCAAACTGTCGGGTCTGAACTCAACGGGCGCCTCAGCCTCCTTGTCCTCCCCGGAGAGCTTGTCGAACATCTTCCTGACGTCACGTCAGCGGCCCCCACCCCCTCCCAACGACTCGCCCAAATTGAAGCTTTTTGTGTGGCCCTTAAGTTCATCTTACCAGCCTTCAGCTGGCCTGATTTTTTGCCTTCATTTGCCCGCATGGTGGCGGTATTTTGCCCTACCCCGTGCCATTTGTGGCCTTGGCACACAACGGCATGAGGGTCTTGGGGTCGGGATTCCTGGATGTACGACCGGGGGAGGAAAAAAAACGCACCGTCTTCACCCTGTATACCCAGGCCTGCGGCTATGGGAAAAACGGGCGCCTGTTTTTCGGTCCAATCCGTGTCGTGCGAGCAAAACAACGGTCGAGAACGCCGCCACCCACAAACAAGAACAACCTAGACACTGAACAGATATGCCAAGAACAGTAAAGTTTGCGGTTTGCGGTGGTCGATCTTAACGAAACCAAACCTAAAACGAAGAAGAACAGTTGCCGAAGGGGGGAAGGAAGCTGCCCGGACTCCGTCTGCATCCGTCCTGAAGTTCTTCTTTTGATCTCGGCACTGCTTCTGCCACTCGCGCTCCGCCTGGCTTTGTCGAAGTTGCTCAACCCTCTGCAAGAGCACCCCAAAAATCAACACGGGCTACTCCGATGGGTCCCCTTTTCTTGACACATCACCCAAAACGAAACTCACCATAAAACGGAAATACGAGGACTCCTATTGCTATTCGAACCCAGGTAACCACTTGTTTAAACATGTTCTAATACTATTTGTTTGAACCTCTTGCTGGATCCCCTCCCAACAGTTGGCACCTTCTAAATGGGAGGGCGTCAGAGGCCTTCCGATGCCGAGTTTGGGTGACTCCGAGGCTGCCTCCGAGGCGCGCAGCTGCCATTGGGCCATGGGTCAAATCCAAGACCCCCAGCGAGCATCCGATTCAATCCAACCACCTACAATAGGTCCTAAGATGGGCGGTGAATTCACCGAAAATGGGATCCATTGGTTTTGACCCACAGCCCAATATGTTCGGTTGTACTGATTCAAGATTCGTCTTCTTAGGCCTTCCGTGGAGCTTCGGAGGAAACCTTCCGCGGGTTTCCGCGCACGGACTCTACAGCTTTTTGAAAATCATGGTGGCTCCAGAAGACTCAACGTCGCCAGGGCAATTTAGAACACTGCTCAAATGGTGCAACCAACCTGCAGGTAATGCAAGGTAAATGATTGGAACAGACTCGTGGGGTTGTGCCTGTACAACTATCAGTCGTGATTAAACTTGGACCCTTATGGGTGTGTCCTTTTTTCGGGGACCCCCCCAAAACAATAGCAACAATAAATGGCTCTGGTTTTCCTGTGGTTTCCCTTTGACCCAACCCCAAAAAGAAATCCCTTATAGAGAAAGACACGCCCTTATATGGCTGTGGGTCAAAACTGTGTACCCAACATGGGACCCTTGCAAATGGAACCAAAGACTAAAACATGCGGTTTTCGGGTGGTTTTAACATGACCCATACCCATATACTCACCTGCACGCGTTCAAGAACATTCGCACAGAGACGGGCAGTGCGCCTCCTGCTGCATCTGCTTCGCCGCGGCGTGGCCCGACTCCACCTACACAAGTCCCCCGCGGGACCCGTGACCCGCGAGTCGAGTCATTGTCCCAACGAATGGGCGTCCCACCCGGAAAAAAAAAAAAAAAAAAAAACAAAAAAACATGCGACCAGTCTAAGGGTTGATTCCCCATTCTTTTCAGCCATCGTTCTTTTAAAAAACCAGCCATTTCCCCAGGGTGTTCTGTGGTTTTCTGGAAAGAAGGATACCTGGAAAGAATGGGGAAGCTACCCCTAGAACCAGGGAACTCTCTCTATATGAACCTATACAATGACATGTGCGGCACGAGGGATGTTCCCAGTCGCCATTCACCCAGGAACCAGCCTTAGGAAGGGAAACCACCCATAACATTGGGGCAATTCTGATGGTCTGACCCATGGGTTTCCCACACGTGGCAAGCATTGAGAGAATGCATGGATCGACGGGATAGCCGGGTTTTGAAGCCCTAAATGTCCCATGTCCTGCAGGGGATCAAGTGCCTGGATCCGAAAGTGCACCCTTTATGGAGGAAATCGCGTTCACCCCCATGTTGCGGCAGTTTCCCATTTTAGTGAGTTCTATGTCCTTCGGAAAACCATCAGAATCTCGACATGTTCACCAAGCCTCGCCTGTCGAATCCTTGGGGCTGGCAGGGGAGCTGGGGTAACATGGGGTGGGCAGAAGGGGGTGGGGCAAGGGGGTTGGGGTTGAGAGACTCCCTTGTGGCTTCATTTAGTGTGAGTAACAATCAGTTAGCATGTTCCAAAAAGGGCCAGACAGGACATGGGTGGGCCACAGTTGCATTTCCCTGTTCCATAACTCATTGTTGCTCGTAGGTTGTGGATCGGACGCGGATCAGGGTTTCGAGGAAACTTGGCATGTTGTAATGCACCTTTAACTTGGTGAAAACCAGGGGGACAAATAGAATCACATTGTCAGCTACCGTTTTCATACTTAGTTAACCCTAAACTAATCAAATCAGCCACAGTCAACATGCATGTTTCCTAATGTTCATGTTGGTGAGTCTACTCAATGCCATCCTCGTTAATACTTTGTGATGTGACGAATTGAGGGAACCCCAAAGCTGTGGTTGTCCTTTTGGTTCACCCTCAAACACCAACCAACAAAACCTACTGGGCCCTCCAAACGAACGGCGTGCCACAGGCCTGGAGCAGGTCCTCTAGGGTGGCGAGGCACGCATCCAGCCTGAGACGTGGCTGCTCAAAATGAGCCGGGCTGCCAAATCCCATGACAGGTGCAGATGTGTTTGACACGTGCGTTGTTTGTTTGTGTTGTTCTGGCCTGTTGCTTTCTGGTTTCCAGGAGTTGTCAATCCTAATCCATGGTCTCCAAAGGGGAACCACTGCAAAAGGGGCTCCTTACCATTAAGGATTGCCTTTGAGCAGCCCAGTCCGGATTTGAAGGATATTCTGCAGGAAATTGGCCAAGCTCTCACCGAACACATGAAATGTGCTGTGAAACAAAAAGTCACCCACCATCATTTTGGGTTGGAAGATCAACCATTAGGGCAATTTCAGGGTTCAGGTGGGCAAATTGAAGTACGCAAACAGGTGGCAAATTGAACTACGCAAACCATATGGACTCCAAGCAAAGGACCAAAGGCCCAGAGTCGACCCCCAGGCTGGGAAAAAGGCCACCCCTTGAGCTGAATTTAAAAGGGACACCCCTCCCAAAAGGGTAATTCTGTCATTGCAACGCCTTCTCGAGCGAACACGAGACCAAATTTTTGGGAGTGCAAATCCTGATCGCAAGGTTGAAAAATCACCCCGCATTTGAGAGCAATATCCCATGTTTAAGTGTAGTTATCAATATCCAACTTTTTAGTATATTTGAACAATCTCCACTTTTCTGATGTATTTTGAGGGTCCAGGGGCGGATAACTCAACCCCACCAACTTGTTTCATCCCTCCGAGATTCGGTGTCCACCATTTCCTCGGCCTCCGCATGGAGCGCTGCGCGCTGGCTTTGCGGTACAGCGCCTCGGCTCGTAAATTCGGAGCGGATGCAGATGGCGCAGGCAGGCTCCGTGGTGGCAGATCCGAGCGCCAAATTTGTCCTAAGAGTTTGTTCTCAACGGGAGCTTGTGCTAAGAGTTTGTTGCTAAACCCGGGAGCTGGTTACCTTTCAAGGCTCCAATTTTGCCAAATTCCCCTGAACGTGTCGGACTTGGCCAAGCGGAGGCGAGAAAAACAACACGAAAAAAAATGGAGGAGGAACCTCCAGGACTCGGATGCCAAGGTGAATCGTTCTAGCAACCAGCAATGGCCTTACCAACTTTTGCATCCAGACAAGTCTTATCCCCCCTAGTTTCCCCCCCTTGGGCCATGGCTGGTTGATAGGTCTAGGGGGGATAAGACTTTTCTGGATGCAAAAGTTGGTAAGGCCATTGCTGGTTGCTAGAACGATTGTCTTCCCCCCAGGTTTCCAATGGTTGACACTCTCTGGGTTCATACGATGGACCCTTTCCGACACCGCGCCAAATTCTGCAACACGCTGTGGTCAAAGCATGGCGGGGCGAACCCGGCCATCAGGACCCGGTGAACCCATTTTTGTGGGCTGCCCAAAGGTGTGCAGTCAGTGAGCTTGCAATGTGCAGCGGCTCAGAAGAAAAAAACACACGGCAAGGCGTCAGGGCTCCCCACATGTTTACAAATCCCCCGACCAAAACAAACCCACTGCAATTGGAAACCCAAAAAAGTGATGCTTCAAGTCACCAAAACAAGAACTATAAAAAGCAGTTTCGTTTGAATGGCGCGTGGGCAACAAGGCCGCCGGGTTTCTGTGCACTTCTCCCTGCCTTGGTGATCAAATGCGGTGGCAGCGCCTAAGGAGGCGATTCAGAGCCTTGCGTTGCCCCTGCAAAGCTAAACCAGCAACAGCAATGCAGCAATCCAAATTGCCTTCATGGTTCTCTTGGGTCGGAGGTCTGCTTGGAGGGCCGTAAATGTGGGTCTGCGTTAGGGGGGTCATGAAGGGATTAGGATTCTTAGGGCGTCTGCGCAGTGACAGTGCAGTGTAGACTAGCTGTTATGATGCCAACCCAGGAATCGTAACCCCCTGCTCATTGCATCCCTCGCACCTTCAGAGGTATCCAGCATCCAGCCCTTCTCCCCTTCATGTTTACAGGGAGCTTAAATAGACAAATGCAACCACTGGGCTGGTACACACTGCCAAGTGGTGCCCTGTTTCATTGGAGATACTGCCGTGAAGGTGCCTGCAGGCGTGCCAAATGCGGATTTCCGTTCTCGTCGGAACTGCATGGGAACCAAATTTAATCATGGCTTAGGCATGACAAAAGGTGACCTTTTGGAAGGATAGATGGCCCTGGTACATGGTATAAATCCAATCAAGACCAGCGCCAGATAGATAGATAGATAGATAGATAGATAGATCGATAGATCGATAGATAGATCGATAGGCAGGCAGGCAGGCCGGCAGGCAGATGGACAGATAAATATGACATAGATAAGGACATTTGATAGATAGGGACATTAATAAATGAAACATACATAGTAGATTGACAGACACATAGATACCTACTATATATATATATATGTATAGAGAGAGGGAGAGAGACAAAGATGGATGGATGGACGGGTGGATGGATTGATGGATGGATGGAGAGATAGATACGCACATAAATAGGAAGGCAGATAGATAGATAGATAGATCGATAGATAGATAGATAGATAGATAGATAGATAGACAGATTAGATAGATAGATAGATAGATAGATAGATAGATAGATAGATAGATAGATAGATAGATAGATAGATAGATAGATAGATAGATAGATAGATAGATAGATAGATAGACAGATAGATAGATAGATAGATAGATAGATAGATAGATAGATATAGATAGATAGATCGATCGATAGATAGAAAGACAGATAGATAGACAGATAGATAGATATAGATAGATAGATCGATCGATAGATAGAAAGACAGATAGATAGACAGATAGATTAGATAGATAGATTAGATTAGATTAGATTCGACTAGACTAGATTAGATTAGATTACATAGATAGACAGATAGACAGATAGACAGATAGATAGTTAGATAGATAGATAGAGGAAACGAGGGAAGGAAACAAGGAAGGAAGGAAGAAAGGAAGGACAGAAAAACATAAAGAACGAAACAAACCAGGAAACAAATAAATAACTACAAGGAAATAAATAACAAACAAAAATAGCCAACAACAAACAAATAACCATGTTGCAAAAACAACACATACTGAAATAACATACCACAATGCAAACGATGGCAGACAGCAAGAGGAGAAAAAACACCAGCAAAAAAACAAAATCGACATATGACACTGCAATTCGCATATTTCTGAAACTTCTGCCCACTGGCTTCGCCGGCACTCTACTGGAACGCTAGGCGGATTCGCTCCTACACCATCTGGATGCCAGCGAAGTCGTATCTTTCAGCTCTGCGAAGTGGCAATCACGAAACAGCCGCATTGTAAATCACAGGAAATCTTCCTCTCCACTTCTGCCATGCAGAGGGGTTCTGTACCAATTCGCACATGAAGTGCGCGACATTGGCTCTGGAAGTCTGACCAGCTGAGAAAATACTGCACACAAGGCTGTCACGAAGCTCATACCTGGGGGAGACTGAACCCCAACAACAAAATGCACTTTGTTCGCCTGCTGGTTGAAAGGGAAATACTTGGCAACACAAAAAGGCAAAAGTAAAGCAAGCACAGTTGGTGAAAGTAGATGGCACAATTCTGCACCGTCAGTCATCCCCTGTGCTTGCCCACGCAAGGTGCTCCCTATTCTTGAACATATTTGTTGTAGGGCACGATGTCAGAAACTGATTGAACGTATTTGCCATGATAAAACGGGTTGTCCAGTTATACCAAGTAAAGCAAGCGGATATTTGGAGTGGGGGGTAAGCCATTGGCCTGGCGACTGGCTCACTTCCCCATCTATGAGAAGCTCGGGGCGTACTGCACACCACTCCATACCCTTCAGCTCCGTCCGAAGGAACTCCGCTGCTCTCATGTTGTCGTTGTGCGGAGGCAAACACCTTAGTGCTTTGTTGCTTGCTGGTGCGAAATCGGTAGGGAATGAGAAATGGAATGAACCCCCCCCCAAAAAAAAATGAACAAGCAAAGCACCAGTTGGATGGTTGTTCTTGGGGTTCCATTTCTCATTCCCTGCCGATTTCGCGCCAAGGTTGATCCCTAGCCAAAAGTTCCAGAAGTCAATGTCTGAAAGTGCAAAGAACCGCATGGCCAAGACGCGTCGACAGCATACACAGAAGTGCTCGTTGTCCACAGGTGTTGCGAATTTTCACATCCTGGGCCAAACGTAGACCCCATGCAACGTTTGCTAGTTGAAAGGGAACACATGAAGGATCACCCAAAAGGTGCACAAAACATCACAAATCTACAACAAGGCAAAGTAACCCAATAACCCAGTACTTCAGGCTACCACAATGTAGTAGGTAACCAGGCTTCATCACCTCTAGGATTCATATGTTGGTTTTCCCTTACCTACAATGGAAACTGCAAGCACGACAAGTTTAGCCTTTTGCATGTTAGCAAGATCCAACCCCAAAGTTCAAAGCCTCACTACCCCTTTAAAGGGGACATCACCTCACATGTTTGGGGCAATATGGCAGTATCATATTTAGGGTTTTTTGAGGGTCTAGGAGCCAAGAACAGGAAGCTAAGTCCGGCAAGGTATCCTCGTCATTATCAGGATTGGTGTAGAGGCCCGTGCTCATCAGGATGACCTTTGCCGGCGATTGGAGCTCTCCGATTCCACGGCAGACTCTCCGAAGCACGTCATAGACCAAGAAGCGGGATGCTTTGCCACCTTGCAAACAACTTGGTGGCTGCGCAAAACCTTTTTACTGGCTGTGGGTTGGGAGGGAAATACACTTTTCCCAACAAGTCAAAGGAGAAAGCCGCAACCAACACTCACTTGCCCAAAGAGCCTTTGGGCCAGGGCATGTCTGCCATCCTGGCTCAGCTTCGTGCCCAAGAAGCCAAGTGGCGAGAGGTTACCAGGGCTCGGGACCCGTTTTCCCCTTTAAAGGGAACCTCCAACGTGGCAATTCCAATGGACACCACCAGGAAATCGCCAGTTTTCGACATAGGGGTGCCCTCCAGCAAATTAAGAGCCAATGGAATCCACTGGAACGGTGCGGAAAATCGGAAAACGCCCAAGGCGATGCGGGAAGATCGGCAAATTGAGGATTGGGGCTTTTGGTGGATTCCGAGGGCCTGATTTGAAAGGGAAATCAAAGGGGAGACCACCATTCTTTGGGCACAGGTCAGACCGCCAATTCGGGAAATGAAAGGGGAGCAGGCCCCAGGAACAAAGGTTCACCTTTTGCCATGACTAAACATGGACCAAGGGAAAAAAGAACCCGGTGAAAGGCTCGGGTTTGGGCAAGTGAAACAAGCAGCCAAGAAAAGCGCATCGTAGCCCAAAGGCTCATGACGTCCCGAAAGGGGTCGGAATCTCACCAGTCGCATTCGAAGGGTCCATTCGAATGGCGCGTCTGGGCGAGACTTGTTGGTTGGGACCGAATAGCAGGGTCGAAGTTCCGAAAGAACCAACCCAAACCGACCTTCAGTGGGCATTGAGAAGCAAATGTGAGTCGCTGATGCCAAACGGAGCGAAGGGCGATCCAGAAAAAGGGAAACCAAAGGTCTGCGCAAAAGGGGGCCAAAACGAAAATCAGAAGGTCAAACCGGCAAACCGAACTTGGCGCAACTAAAGTGCAAACCGAACTGGACAACTAAACGGGTGTCTCTTTTTCAGGGGAACCCACAAAATGGCTTCTGGTTCTGGTTTCCCTGTAGAGCTAACCAAAACGGGTACAGTACCACAAACAAACACGAAAGATCGGTTTGCCTGTAAACAACTAACCAACACGCGCACAAAAACAACGGTTTCACTGTAAAACGAACCAAAAGGGGTACCAACTCAACAAAAAAGAACCGAAAACCCCGCACTGGTTGCTGACTGAGCCACACATGCCCTGGTAGGTGCCCTCATGTCCCAGGCAGCTAACCACTGCGGTGCAATCCTTTAGCTGCTCCACCAGCGCTTCATCACCTGAGTGGGTCTTCGGTGTACCTGGACCTGAAAGAACTACCCAGTAAATCAGAGGGAAGCCACCAACCTTGGTCTTGCACTAACCCCATGTTTAAGTTGGAAGTTTCTTCAGGATCCGGGTATGTTTCTTTTCTGGGGATGAACAACAACTATGCTTGGTTTGTGTTTGCTTGGCTGAATTGGTGAATTGGGTTCCGTACTTGTTTCGTCTCTTCTCGATCATCTCCTTGGGAAGTTTTGCTATTTCGACAGACATCTAAACTCATACGGGGGTGCGCCAACACCTGGGGAACCTCAAATGTTGTTTTTCTTTTGGTTTCTCTTCAAAACCACCCCCAAAAGAGAACCGAGCCGCGAAACCAAATTCGGGTGTCCTTTGCACTTTTCAGAAAACCAACAAATCATCCACCACCAAAACCCATTGACGTTTGCTTCTACTAAGATGGTTTTGAAGGTTTCTAGAAAACAGGCAGTGGCTTTAAAGGTACATATAGCTCTTCAGAAACCACCAATTTTGGCACTACCGAAATGGTTTTGTAGAAGGTTAGTAGGTGTAAAGGATTACATAGCCCTCACAAACCTCCCATCTTGATTGAGTGTTGGTCCTACTAAGATGGGTCTCCAGGTTTTCATGGCCCTTACAAGAAACTAGGTAGAACCATTTGCTGAACCCCCCCCCCGCCCAAACCCCCACCTCCCGAGCGGATTGGCCCAAATTTTAGGATAGCAAGTCACTCATCTCCAGGACCTTCGCCGTGGTCACGGCGAGCTCCGAATGTCTGGCCACCTCGATCCTGGTTCCAACTCGGAAGAAGAAAAGAAGATACAGTTACCCATTGAGGCAACCAAAATGCTTGGTTGCTGTTGACTCCCCTGCATTTATTGTTACTTTTAATGGGGTTGAGTGGAGAATACCTATATTCATTACAAAACAAAACAAAACGTCTAAAGACAGATCCAGCCCAATTTCAGTCAAGAACGGTTCCCAGCCTACCAACTCGGTGATACTCACTAAGCTTCAACCCTTACAATGGCAACCCATCCCTAACCAAAAGGTACGATTGGAACCCAGGGTTTGGGATATCTTGGAGCTCTAGACAACGGTATTTCGATGGGTTATGTCATAACTCCCATCTCCAAAATCCTCAAGTCAAAAGACCCCATATGGGCTTGCCCCAAGGCTCGGCAGCTTCTCCGGCGAACGAACAATGGTTCTCACCTTCACATTTCGGGCCAGCAGCTGCTGAACGAGATGCAGGCCTGTCTTGCCCGTGCCACCCAACACTAGCACCACCATCGGCTGATGCAACCACGGTGAAAGGAGCAAGGCAGAAACTTGGAACTGAGCCCAAGCGGCGAACCAAATTTATGACAAGCACAGGCAAAAGCATCGGTTTCTGAGGGCCGATTTGGCGAGAGGTTCGACTCCTGGGTTCTCAATACAGGTCTGGACGAATCATGAAATATCATGTGGATAAAACAGTGGGTTTAGGCACGCTCCCCCAAAATAATGGGTTTCCTTTCAGTTGTCCTTTTAAAACAAACATATGGGTATCCTCAAAGGAAGAAAGGCACATCCAAACATATATGTTCTGTAGCACCTGGTTCATGAACATGAAACTCGTTCGCGGCAGCTGGTCACACAAACCTGATCGAGTGGGTTGGCCCAAGGAAGTCTGACCGTGTGTTTCCAACCCTGCTGTTGACCCCCCTGCAGGTTTGACTTGCGGGTCCAATACGGCAAACCCCACCTGTTTCAACTAAAAAGTGTAAGTCCGGAGTCCGGAGTCCAAAGATCCGGTACCAAATAGCCATAAAGCGACTACAACAGGTCTTCCCCAAAAGCTGCTAGGTCCTCCAGAGAGCTTCGAAGAAGGGCACCCTGTTTTCTGTCCATTTTGGGGAGCCCTCCCCCCCAAGACTTGGGTTTCGTGCTCCCAGACTCTTCCCCCGTCGCCATGCCGGCATCGCATCGACTTGGCAACCACTTTGGTCGAAAAACCCGAAGCGCTAAATCTTGGGTGGAATGGTACCAAACATGTTCCCCTAAAACTTGGATCAGCCTTTGTTTTAAAGACTCGCCTTCGTTTTTGGGAGTGTTGGACCCCATTCCACTCCAATACATCCCTTGTTCCCACCCTTTTGGTGGTAGCTCAAGTCTTTCAAGGGTGGGAAACCTTTTGGTGACCTACAAAACAAGGGAGATGAACAAAGCATCACTGGGTTTGCGTGCCTCATTTCTTGACCCATCGGAGGTACACAGAAAGTGTCATCTTTCTGAAAATGGCAGCCATATATTTACCCCGCGATATGCACAAGTTGTGTTTTAAGATTAAGCAACCAGCAGAAAAGCCTCCATATGTTTGCCCAAATCCACACTTTGGGTTGGCTGGACAGCAGTTTTGCCCTTTATCTCTGCAATATATATATATATAATAACAATAATAATAATAATAATAATAAATAATAATAATAAATAATAATAATAATAATAATAATAATAATAATAATAATAATAATAATAATAATAATAATAATAATAATAATACAATAAAACAAAAAAAATAAAGAAGAATAATAATAATAATAATAATAATAGAAAAAAGAGAAAAATAAGAAAACAAACACGACTCCAGCGTCGCTGACTGCGACTTTCAATCAGTCGCGGGCATCACGTCGGGCCAGCGCCTTGTCCACCGATCTGGCGTGCGATTCGAGTCATTTCCCTGGTTTGGCAAGAAATTCATGGAACTTTTCTGAAATCGGGGGGCTGAAAGCCACCCAAAATCGGGGTGGGTTGGGGGGGGGGGGGGATGGAACCCTTCTGAAATCCGGGGGGGCCGGAAGCCACCCAAAATCGCCAAAATTGGGGCGCCCGGGGGGGCGGCCGGGGATTTGGTAGTTGGTTTCCTGATCCACTGAAAAAGGGTGTTGGGGGGCTTACCACTTTTAGTGGTGTATACAGCCTTCCAAGCTCAGAAAGGGGCCATGTATGAACTCCTGGTATGACACCGTTGGTGCTTAGTTGTGGGAAATCTGCCTTGTTGGGGTCCAAAATGGCATGGGGTCAAGTATCCATTCCAGAAACAAGGGACACTCCCTCAAGATTTTCCCAGGTTTGTTGGGCCCTTCTTTCCCTTGGTGCTTTTTGCTTGCAAACTGCGTGGATCCCAGGCCCCAAAAGGCCTCTTTCCATATGGGTCGAAGAGGGCCCACACAAAAGCCATCGGTGGTCGAATTAATTGTGTATGGAACACTCCAACACTCGCTGGCATCACAAGGAATTGGGGTTCCGAAAAGCGTGGTCCAGCACAATTGCTGAGTTGGTTTCATACTTTGTTTACCCCAAATAGAATAGTGTTGGAGGACACCCGCAAGTTTCAAAATGCTCTCAGATATAGTATAATATATATTAATATATCAATCAGCTGCGGGCGCGCTCATTTGCAAGTCGCTGCGGCGTCGTGTTTGATTCGACATGGTTCGTGCCATGGAGCAAGTTCATTCACACTGCGCGAGCCAGCAGACCCCTTACACTGAATGCGGGTTCTGCTGAGCCCCTCTGCCACTATCCTCGAAATCCTGGAAGGAGAACCGTCAATATGACTGTGTCGGCCACTTGGCTGATAGTCACATGTCATCACTGAACCACAATGCTGAGCCTGCTCATTTCGTGCCGAGCCCCATTATGGCCGCTCACCCCACTCTAGTTTCCACGATGTTTGGCAAATGGCCAACGTCAGGCCAAGAATTGAGCTCAAGTGCTCATGAAGCGCGCCTTGCTGGAGGTGGCTTTTAGTTGGTGTAAAGGGAAACCCTCGCAAAAATCGATGCCGTTGGGTCCGAAAGCTTTAAGCACCTGTTCTGGCCGCCCACCTTCGCAGCCGCTTGCGGCATTTCCGATGTCGGGCTGTCAACCTACTCGTGGAAACACGCTGATATTCCGCTCTAAGGGACAAAAGCAGAACACCTGGCGCGAGTGACGGTTGGCAACAGCAGCTGTGATCAGCTTCCAAGCCATGGCAACCGCATCTTTGAGGCGAACACGGTGAAGCCCAACGCAGGCCTTGAGAACGTGAGCGCTGGACAGTTGCAGCGCTGCTGGAGCTGGAGGGATGGCGTCCGAATCGACCGGTTTGAGCGCATGCGCAAGCTAGCAGTAGCCTGTCTGCCAGGCACAGCAGCAGTCGCAAGCTGCAACTTGCCACAAAGGTTTGTACTGATATGCATAGCAGGCAAACGTGACAAGTCCTGAATCTGTGACAGTGGAAGGCTCTTGCCTCCCCGTGCTCCTCGCAAACTGTTGGGGCCGCCGCAGACACTGCTGTCCTCTCGGCAGCACATGGTTCCAACCAAATGCAAGAAGTAAAAGTCCGCCCGCGAAAAGCCTTGCCGCCAGTGCCTTATTGGCAGCAGCTGTTCAGGGGCTTGCAGTTTTTACCGTCTAGATTGCTGGCCGCAACTACTTGGATTGCTGGCCACAAAGTGGTCATTTACCGGGGCACGAACGCAAGCTCACAAAGCAGCATGGTCAGCTTTTAGTTGTCGAGCCTGTCTCGAAGCATCTCTTTGAAGGCTGGTGAAAACCCAGCAAAACAGAAGTAGAACCGTTGCCGCGTCCGCTGAGGCCAGCAATCCCCTCCGATGAAACAGCAGGCCGCACTTTGGTGTCAAGGCATTCTCCGGGCTTCAAACCGCTGATGTACATGATGTGCGAGCAACTGGACATGTCCGGCCATACTGCACGCGAGCTGTGCTGCGAAGGGGTAAAGCCCCGAAGTCTCACGGCTTGCTGACTGCCTGGTGCCAGTTGTCTCGCTGCAGACGCACGTGAGAAGGCTCAGGCATCTCAGGTCTGGTCGCTGCAAAGAAAGAGCAACAGGACACAAAGCAGTGCAGGAGAGCTTTGCCATGTGTCCCTGGGATGGTTTGCATGTCCCATGCACAGCCAGCGCTGGCGGACACTTCAGGGTCGAAAGTGGGGACACCAGCCGAAGCAATCTCAAGCTGCAGCTTCCAGCCAAGTCCTGGGAAGAGTCTTCTTGACCCACCGGCTCCTCCAAAGTTCTGGGCGCCAAGCTTGGGCCCAACGGCTCAACTTGCGTTCAAGTCAACCCATGACACCAAGCACTCCTCCATGGCCCATTCCTGGGACCCGGTTGAGGCAGAAGCAAAGAGTGGTCTTTGATGCCAGCGCTGCATCCTGAGTTATGGGTATGAGCCGAAAACACCACTATCGCCTTTCTTTGTATCCGGTTGCCAATGGAACTTCACTCCCAAAGTGTCGTTTGGACAGCTGGGTGGGCTTTTCCACAGAGTGGGTGGGGGGTTAGGATCCATGGGACTTGGTTTGCATTTCGGTGTATTCGAAGTCTCGTAAATGGTTGGGCTTCCCTGAAAGCGCCAGTCAAAATGGAGTGCCCTCCTTCTTGAGGTGTGAGCCCATGCGCAGGCAACCTTGCTGGATACACAATCAGCCCCCTGTCTCGTTTTCCTGAGCAGCCTCCAGCTGCTGCAAACAAGACAGGACCAAGCTGGTGGGATCCAACGGCCCCGTGCTTTGTTCGAGTCACAGCAAAACGTTCTCCGTGCAAGCTAACACTCCTCCTGCTAGCCTGAACATAGCCCGTTCCAAGCAGTCTGTTGTGATCTACTTGAGTGAAAAAGCCAGTCACGGAAGGGAACGCTACACCAAGTCTGCATCGTTGGCTCGAAACCCAACACGCCGCAGCCCTAGCGTAAGGGCTGGGAAATCGCGGCGCCAGCGCTACACTGAGGCGGCCAACTCAAAAGGTGCAAGAGCAAGGCACAGCCTCAAGCTGCAACTGGCCCTGTGCTTTTCTCAAGACACAAACGGCGCTCTCCATGGAGCCAACACTCTTCCTGGCCTGAGCAGAGCCTGTTTCAAGCAATCTGTTGTGAGCTACTTGGAGGCGAAGCCAGCCGCCAAAGCAACCGCTACACCAGAATTGCATCGTTGCATTGGAACCCAGCTCGCGCCAGCTGTGAAAGCTTACTGCTGAGAAGTTGCGGCTGCCAGCTCTGCAAAGACGAGGCGTCCAACTCAAGGGTGTAAGTGCATGTGCAAGCAGGCAGAGCTGTGGCTGGCAGGCACAGCAGCCTCAAGCTGCAACTTGATACAAAATGGGCAGTACAACGCCAGGCTTGCGCCTTCTACGAGGACACCTACAGCTTGCCTGTGGCCCTCGGCCCAAAGATGTTGAATCAGAGGGTGGGTGAGAAACTTAAAGAATGGGCCACACCGAAGCCATTGTGGCATTGACGGGCTTGAGTTTG